ATATTTGGGGGGGGGGTGTTAGGAGTTCCCTTCCTCTTTGTGGTTCATCGATTCATGGAAAGAAGAATATGTATGCAATGTACTTTATATACACACATATAGACCTACTAGTTTACTGTAATAACAATGAGAAAGTTTACCTGACCGTTTTCAAGAGGGGGCAAACATTAAAATTTCAAGAATTTAAAGTCATTAAAAAGACAGCTCGGGAAAGCTAATTTCATGCCATCTAGGGATCGAAATTTTCCCGGGGGAGGACCCCTGGACCGTCCTTCCTCTTTGGGGTTCATCGGTTCATAAAAAGAAGAATCGGCCTACGTACGCGACTCAGTTTTTTTATGTACATACATACACACATAAATAGGCCTTACTGTAATAAAAGTGAGAAAGTTTGGTTTAACTGACCATTTTCAAGAGAGGAACACATTGAATTTCATTAAAAGACACCTCATAAGTCTAGAAAGCCCATTTCCCGTCATCTAGGAATCAACATTTTCCCAGGGGAGGACCTTCCCCCTTTCTTTTTGGAGTTTTTATGAAAAAAAAAATTGACACCCCCACCCCAAATGTGAAACCAGGTCCGCCCGTGTTTATAAACTCTATCTTCAAGGTGCTTATTGCATTTGTAGATTTCCATTTTTGCTTGTTCAAAGCTATGAATAAAATAAGTAGGCCTACCGACCTATCCACTAAGCGTTGACTTATTATATAAGTTTTAGTCAATATAATACTGTGTTCAAATGTTGTTTATTATTCTATTATTGTGGCAATATATACTGTAATACAACTTCATAATAAAACTTTATATGGTTCAAATATCACAATTTCCAAAAAATAAATGATAATCTGAGCAAGATAGACATTTTATGACTATTTTCAAGAGGGGAAAACTAAATTAAAATTACGCCCGTTTGCATCAATTTCCACCAAGTGCTCCAGTCTTCAATTCAATGAAGTTTGCATACCATCCTTTATTTCAGGAAGGTTTTGAGGGGTACCGTAGTTATTTGAGAAGTATTTTTAAAATGTTTGTGTATACAATTGTAATAGGCCTACTAAATAAATCACCCTTCATTGGAAATAGCCTACACGATATGCTACCAAAACACACAGATCCGGGTTATAACAATTAATTAAATTCTCAATGAAGAAAAAATAGTATTTAAAATGGTTTAGTTTGCATTTTTGAAATTCGAAATTGAACATTTGGGGCCTTACTAGATGTGTATAAGAGACAGATTCTAAATTGAACATTTGGGAGCGCTTATTCTAAATTTAACATTTGGAAGGGGAACTTATTCGAAATTTAACATTTTGGCATAATTTAGCATAATTTCCCATCAGTCTCGGCATAATTTGATTTGCATCCCTGGTCACACCGATCTTGCATTCCGCTAGGTTTTAAACCAATCGGACTTAATACCAAACTTAAGTTTTCGTGTAACAAACAAAATGAGCAACAACGACAGTGACAGTGACAACGACGATGAAGAAGAACACTATGGTAAAAACAGTATTATTGACATGGGAAAAGGATGATGTAAAGTATTGTAGGGGATGAGGAAGTGTTGGGCACTACATGGGGATTGCGGTGATTTTCATTACTCATACACCAACTATTTTTAGTACCCATTTTTTATGTAGGACCTAAGTGTAGAGATTTTAATTCATTTTTGTTTCTCCGTTCACAGGACAAGTTTCAAGATGTACAGACAATTGATTTCACTGCTATTATTATTATTTCTATGCCAACGTCCTGTTGTTGCTCAGGAAACGGTCGACAATGAGGCTTCTAAATGTATATGTGAATGCCAGCAATATCACGAGGAACGGGAGGCAGAGCAGGAAATCCCAAATTATCTTCCTCCCCAACAACCACTTTTCCATGGACAGCCAGGAATTCCAGGTAAAAGTAGGGAGTCCGTATTTACTCATCTATGAACTTAAGTTGCTGTACTCATCTGTCGCTCAGTGATGGTCAGTGGCGGTACCAATGTTGTTGAATTAGTGGTAGGGGGAACTAAGGCAGTTGAAATCTTTGGTCGGAGGAAGGGGATTTGAAAAAAGAATTTGACACAAAGCGGCAGCCAATGACGCCTTATGAGGAAGGTTTTTTCCCCTCCAAATGTGGGCAACCAAGCATACCTTCCAAAGC